GCCTCCCAAAGTGCTGGGATTACAGGCTTGAGCCACCGCGCCCGGCTTCTTATTTTTTTTTTAAAGACAGAGTTTTGTTCTGTCGCCAGGCGCCAGGCTGGAGTGCAGTGGCACGATCTTGGCTCACTGCAACCTCCGCTTCACAGGTTCAAGCAGTTCTCCTGCCTCAGCCTCCTGAGTAGCTGGGACTATAGGCGTGTGCCACCATGCCCAGCTAATTTTTGTATTTTTTAGTAGAGATGGGTTTCACCATGTTGGCCAGGATGGTCTCTATCTCTTGACCTTGTGATCTGCCCTCCCAAAGTGCTGGGATTACAGGCATGAGCTACCACACACCCAGCCTGAATCAGTGTTTTTTTCTGGTTTTGGAGACAACCCTAATGAGAGTTTGTTTAGAAATGTTGGATTGGTTTGTTTTTTTGCTGTCTGTCAGAGAATTGGATAAATAGACTATGTCATGTGGTAATTGCTATAAAATAGCAGTTAAGCTTGACAGTGAAGTGAGGGATTTGAAAACATGTAGTTAATGAGCAAGGTGAATTACAACCCTGTGTGAAAGTATATCGGATACTTCTCCTACAGTAAAAACAAAGGAAATCGATACCATTTATGTTAAATGTAACCAGAACAGTGTTACGTCTTACCTGGCTACATATAAATAAATGTCCACGAAACAAGTGAACTAGAAGGATGCTGAGGACTTGCAGTGGGACCGCTGGGAATGGCGAGAGCAGGACCCATCCGGAGGTGGAAGGGGCTGGAGAGCTAGAGTTCCCTGTTTTTATTTAAAATCTTCATCTTCATGTATTCATGTAATTTAGGAAAGAACATAAACAACAAATGTGGGAGAACATGAACACTGGTTAATTTTGTGGAGTGGGAACATGGCAGGTGATGATTATTTTCTTTATGCTTTTAGGTATGTTTCCAACCATCAAACAGAAAATTAAATAAAAAAAAAAACCAGACCTTTAATCTTAACAGGAAATACCTGTGGTTATGAGTGTTATTTCTATTCTGTTTTCATAGAAAATGTGGACACAGACTTGCAAGGCAGCCTGGGGCAGAGTGAAGAGAAGCCCGTGCCCGCTGCGCCTGTGCCCAGCCCGGTGGCCCCGGCCCCAGTGCCATCCAGGAGAAATCCCCCTGGTGGCAAGTCCAGCCTTGTCTTGGGTTAACTCTTACTGTCCTGAACACTGTCGTTTTGTTTGTTTCCTCCATGCTTGTGAACTGCACAACTTGAGCCTGACTGTACATCTCTTGGATTTGTTTCATTAAAAAGAAGCACTTTATGTACTGCTGTCTTTTTTTTTTTTTTTTTTTTTTTTTTTTTAAGAACAGGTTTCTCTCTGTTTTGACTCCTGGGTCTGTGGGCTATGGCATGAGTGTTTTCTAGTAGTAGGTTGGAGGGAAAGCTTTGTGACACTTAGTACTGTGTTTTTAAAAACAAATTAATTTGGTTCCAGATGTGTTAGAGGATCTTTTGTACTGGGGTTTTAACACTTTACTTGGGTTTACCAAGCCTCAACTGGACAGACCATAGCCAATCCACAGGCACCGTTCCCGCCAGGCCCCAGCACATAGGGTGTCTCTCCGCAGAGCCTTCTTGGTGTTGCCCTAACTTGGCCAGTGGCCTTTGCTCCGAGCCTCCTCCTGTGCCATGTGGAACAATGAAGAGGCCTGTGCCTCATGCCTTGCCACCTGCAAAGCAAAGAAACTGCCCTTTATTTTTTAGCCTTTTTTTGAGATGGAGTCTCGCTCTGTTGCCTAGGCTGGAGTGCAGTGGCACAATCTTGGCTTACTGCAACCTCGGTCTCCCGGATTCAAGCGATTCTCCTGCCTCAGCCTCCCAAGTAGCTGGGATTACACGTGCCTGCCACCACACCCGGCTAATTTTTTTGTATATATAGTAGAGACAGGGTTTCAACATGTTGGCTAGGCTGGTCTCAATGACCTCAGATGATCCACCCGCGTTGGCCTCCTAAAGTGTTGAGATTATAGGCTTGAGCCACCACACCGGCCTATTTTTTAACCTTAAGAAGTAGCCAGATAGTAACATGGTGGCTGATGAGCAAAGCTTGCTGCTCTCATGCAGAAAGTGGCTTGGATGTATAATGAAACTGACTGGAACTAAAAGCAGTGAAGCAAGGGAGGCAGTCACACCAAAGTGGGTCTTCATCTAGGAACGGGGTCCCATGGGGGCGGGGGGTGTTTTAAATAACTTGATGCTGTGTGCATGATGCTGGTGCTTGACCATGAAAGGAAAGTCTCATCCTTAAAATGTGTGTTGTACTTCACAATCCTGGACTGTTGCTTCAAGTAAACAATATCCACATTTTGAAACATTGTGTACTGTGTCTTCTTTTTGAGATGGTTTCAGTGTTCTCCCTGGTTAGATGCTTTTCTTGTTGTCACTAAAAATCCTGCCCACTGATTGGATGAGTCATTTGAAGTTAAAATAGCTGGGTGTGCCTGTAATTTGCTAGTTGGGATGCTGAGGCAAGAGGATGCCTGAGCCCAGGGGTTTGAGATTATCCTGGGCAACGTAGCAAGACCCCCTTAAAAAACAAAAACAAAATGGATGAAGACCCAGAGAGCAGTGGGTTTCTCTCGGAAGAAGTCTCTAAAGATAAGCAGGTTAGACTCTTCTGCTAACCTGCCCTTTGTTCTGGGGTAACATTTTAAAGTGTTCTCCAAGCCTTGGCAACATGGTGAAACCTCGTCTCTACCCCCTAAAAAAAAAAAAAATTCTTCATAGAATAAAG